AAAATACTATTGAATACAAAAATTTAAATTACATAAACAAATAATATGAAAATACATATAATGAACGTTTTTAAAATAACTTCAATCAATTTTGTTATTAGTTTTCTTCATAAGGTATATTTTATTTATAGAACCAAAAGTAAAATAACAGAAAACGTAATTATTTTGTAGTAACAAGAAAATATATAAATTGGGTCGGTAAATTCGACATCCATTATTAATGATGATGTTTAAAAATATAAACGTTTGATCATAGTTAAAGGCGCTATAAGGAATTGCTACTAAATTGAAATTAAATACAAAAATATTTAATCCGAACCACCAACTTGTGTGGTAGATGTGTAAATAAAAAATAGCTTTTAATACGTCATAAGGACTTTAAGCTTATTTGTATTTCTGATTTTTTTAATATCCATTCATTTATATACATTATCACACATCTAAAACTTATTGAAAATCTGAAGTTTTATGATTTCAAAATGTTAGCAGGTATATAGGGAATAGAAATTCGAATTCGAGAATTTCAAGTAGAGGAATTCGAGAATAGGAGAAATGGGGGGGACGCAAATCTTTGACAAATAGTTATTTTGAATTTCCTGCTTACTGAGCATTCTAACGAAAGACGTTGTCTACAAAAGTTGTAGATCTAGTGAAAATGCACAACTTTTATAAATAACACTTTTTACAATAACCTCAATGTTTCCGAGATATTTGCAGAAAACTCGGTTTTTTACTTTTTCTTGGTTTTTTATTTTTAATTTCTAGAATAATCTTTTGATTTTCATGAAATTAAGGAAATGTAATCTTCGAAATACATATAATAAAATAAAATAAATTACATTCTGTTTAGCTATTTCCAAGAAAAGTATGTTGTATGGTCTCGATAGGCTGAAAATCACCCTCAACTTCAAGTGGACGTTTACATTTAAAAATGTTTCGTTCAATTTTCAGATAGGGCTCATTATTATTGTCTTACTCTACTTTTTGAAAAAATAAAAACATTGTGTGTATGTTGTATATTTATAACTTCTTCACGCCAAAGTGGCTCGACCGATTTAGATGAAATTTTGTGTACATATAGACTATGATCTGGAGTCGTAGGTTAATGTTGCAAACATTTTCAAAGAGATTACCTGTACACCTAATATTTAAATATGTCGTGTCACGGTGTTTGTGGTCGCACTCCTCCAACACGACTCGACCGATTTTAATGAAATTTATATATTATGTATTCAGTATACGAGTATGTAGGTATGAGAATAGGTCGTAAAGTATTTTTAACCCTCCTACCCCCACCTCTCATTTTGATTATGAACATATGAACAATATTAAATAAATACATAGCGACGAATCCGAGGGTGAGTCGCTGTATAACATAAAGCCAAAGAGTTTTTTTTGTAGATTGAACGCGTGCTTAGCCGCGGGTTCTGCTGGTATAATTATAATGACAGACCCCTAAACTATAATAGTACAGACGCATTGCAGTGAACTGAGGTTAAATCACGAGTAATAAAACAAAATGCCACTAATAATACCATAAATAAGAGTTAACTAAAAAATCTCACTTTCACAGAAAAGCATTTTAATTATAAAATCACGTTATAATGCTTCTATTTATACTACTTAAAAATATATATAATATTTTGAAATATTAACGCTACATATAGACTTCACTAAAATCAATTTGAACAAATTCGATTTATTATTCTTCTTTTACACAAAGTTTATTCAGCGTCTAGACATATTATCTTTATTTTAACTTTTTAAATTTCTATGTATGGAAAAGAGATCTTTCCGCAGAGTTAAAAAACACTAATATTTCTTAAAATATTATTATTACACTTAAAAAATGTCTTATTACTTAGAGGTACAAAAACTGACTTACACACAGCGAAGTGAAATTAATGGTAGAAAATAACGTTTGGCTTCTGAACTACGGCGATACTATGCGTATACCGCGAGTGTACGTGATCGAATTGTAGTGCGCGAGTACCGCGAGTGAATTATAAGTGATTTTCTTGAAGCTAAAGTAATAAAACATCCATTGTGTAAATGACTTGCTTTAATTTCCGATCTGAATCAGCCCAGCCTGTAACTATATTAAGTATTTGATGTTAATTTTTTATGTTAATACATAGATATTAATCGATATTTCTATATTATAAACACGAATGTTTCTTTTGGGATTATTAATATTTTGTGCTTATCCTTTCATGTAACAACGGATGAACATTACGTGTGTGTATTACACGTAGATGCGAAATTTTATTCTCTAATAAAATAGTTTCAATAACTTTTGCTTTAAAGTGCATTGTTTCCGAGATATCGGCCAAAAAAGTTTTTTCAAGGTGGCGCCTGAAGCTCCACCGGGATCTGTCAGCATTTTGTGATTTTATACTCAGTAAGTGATCCTAAACCTTATTAAATAAAAAAATTGGATCAGAAATTTCGTGTTAAATCTGACAATTTTTCTATAAAGTCTCGCAATAACAATTAAAATATTATTATTAATTAAATAAACGGAAATGTTCGAGAACAAGCTATTAAGAAACGGACTCATAGTTATTACTCACGCGATGTAATAATTAAAAGTTATAACCACAACAAAATACAGGACCTTGAAATTTTTCATATTTGCACAATTTAGGTGGTCCTTGAAGTTTTACAGTGAATTCTTCGAATGAATAAAACAATTCGAGCAAATTATTCGTCATAGTTTTAATTTAACGAAATACAATTAGTTTTAGTTACGCTAATTTATTAACAACTTACCTTACGTTCTTGTGTTTTTGAAATTATACTTTTTTTGGCACGTTAAAAAAAAATATGAGTGTAAAATTTTTACGATGCGCGCGCACACCGACAGCCAAAGAGCGACATAATAAAGTTAGCTGCATTCCTTTTACAAATAGAGAATTATGACATACGGGATGAAATCGTTAGCTATTTTTGTTCTGTTACGCCAAGGAAGTATAACTTCTTACGTGTGTACAATGTACACACACGTTTTTTTTTCATATATATTTTAATGATTATTGTAAAGATTACATCATTCAGTCACGTACAAATGAAGATATTGGCTAAATATAAATCAAAATTGCTTTATTCTAGAATATGGAATAAAAAAATATTTCAAATTGTGTTTGTTTATTTAACAATACGTTTTTGGAGAACGTCTCGTAGAATTTTTATGGCCACTTTTTTTAGTTTGTGGTCACTTATACATAAAAAAGTGATATTGGTCTTTGAATCACTAAAGACAAAAAATTCTAGCACAGGTGCTGTCATCATCTGTCATGTCATTTAATTCCGAATATTTTACTTTATGAGTTCTACGTGACATTGACGATTACTTCGTCAATTGTGCCCATAGAGTATATTGCTACATATATAAAATTGTGCCCAACTGGCACTCCTAGAAGCCACGAATTGAAAGAATTGAATTACTTTACGAGTATATAAGTATTTCATATATTAACACTAAAAAATGTAAAATGTAGCAAACTGCAATGCAAACATCTGACTTTAATCGCTTGTAACTACGATTAATATCTCATAAAATGGAATAAGTTTATATAGAAAGCGTATAGAGACGCTCGAATATAAATGCGTACAGAATATAATATTATGTAAGTACTTTCAAGAGTCATATTTTTAGTTTTTATAGGTTTATCTAAATAAATATACTTTCATAAGCGAAGCTATAGGCTATAAGTTTCCTTTTTATATATAATTTAATGAAATTGACTGATAGACAATTTAGTATGGAATACGTACGTACGTGGAATACGTACAATTTAGTATGGGTTTAGAGGACTGTGAAATGCACAAAAACCACTATAATTAAAACGAACAAGTAAATATTTTTGTAAATTTTGGGTAAATCAGATAAGAATGTGAATAAACAAGTGAAAAATAAAAAAAAAAAAATAAAAAAACCGACCGTCTTGGATTGATTTTCATCAAACACAGCTCCCTGCCGACTAATTCACCTTTCAAATAAAAAAAAAACAAAATCAAAATCGGTTCATCCGTTCGAGTGGTACGATGCCACAGACACAGACACGTCAAACTTATAAATGGACGGTTAAAAACTTTTTAACAAAAAAATAAAAACCGACTTCAAACAAAAGCACTAAAAAGTAAAAAATAACTGATTGGTAGTTTTCATTTACTATACATATCTAATCAAATATTTTCGAAGTCGGTGTGCTTTGCTTTGTATGGGCTGGCACCGATTTCGAAAATATTTGATTAAGTATGTATTTAATAGGTAGGCTTTAATTACTTAGCCAAAGCACACCGACTTCGAAAATATTTGATTAGGTATGTATAGTAAATGAAAACTACCAATCAGTTATTTTTTACTTTTTAGTGCTTTTGTTTGAAGTCGGTTTTTATTTTTTTGTTAAAAAGTTTTTATTTTTTCCTTTTTAGTGTAGACAGTAGTAGCAAAGTAAGGATTCTAACGTGTTAGGCTTGTCAAATCAAACAAAATAAGCCCAAACTCAAAGTATCTACTATTAGCCGTTGAAGAGTTCCACCTTTCCACCTTCTGGCCTTGCCATCAGATCAGGTCAACAACACCGAACCACTGTACTATCAACGGAAATAGAAATACTTGCAAAGTTTCAAGTCAATATGACAATTAGAAGTAGGTTAAATTCATCATTAGCTATTTTTCCACCCTTTGGGGTGGTATTTTTTTTTGAAATTTAAATGGGACCAATCTGGAAGTATACCCTTTTAAACAAAACAAAAATTGACCAAATCGGTCAATAAATGACGGAGTTCTGAGGTAACAAATATAAAAAAAAAAAAAAAAAAACAAAAAAAAATACAGGCGAATTGAGAACCTCCTCCTTATTGAAGTCGGTTGAAAATGGACATTTTTGATATAAAATCTATATAAATTGAAATTAAGGTTATGTGTACATATATAAATAATGGAAATGCCATTGGGTTTTCTGTTTGTACAATAATAAAACACTTTGTTACAGATTTAAGGCGCCATCGTTTGAAGGAGACATGAGCTCAGATGCTATTATCGACGCTGATACAGGTGCAACTGTTTTATTTGATTGCCGGGTATCTTCGTTGAGAGATAAAACGGTTAGTACCTACATAATACGTAGCACCTTTTGCAACTTTGTGTGTTAGAAGATAGTACGTGCTATAAGACAAAGGTTTTATTAAAAAAATAATAAAATTAACTATTCCTCGGTGATGTAGGAGCATATAAGGCTGCATATTTGGAAGTCCTAGGTTCGAGTTACGGGTAGGGTCAAATTCAGTTATTAATCTTATGAACACGGTCGGTCCTGAGCCTTATGGTGACCGTGACAGTTTACTCGTTAAAAGTCATAAATGGGCTCAGAATACTCTCACTGCCCTAATATTTATATCTGATATAGAACTTCTTCTCCCTGTCCATTTCCCTATCACTTGGGGTCGGCGCAGTACATCTTCTGTACTGCTGATAGGATTTGGCAAAAGTTTTACGACCGGCCCCCTGCCTGACGTCAACCCTTCTTGGGAATGCTATTGTCTCTCATTGTCTGAATGGTGTCGCGGAAGTGTTGTAATTATTATACACTTTCAATTTTGTTGTCTTTTAAAACATTTTTTATACTATTACATAAATTTTTAATGTTATTTTCGGATATATTTTAAAATAAATTTTGATTACACCATAAATTTTGTTTTGACGAGATATAGAACATTATAATAAAAATAAAATTGAGTCAATGAACGTGTGTATTTATTTTAACAATATATTGTATTAATTTGTGTTTTTAATTAAGAAAGTATGTGATTGCAAAAAGCTATTTAAAATCTTATACGTATTTACAATTTTAACAGGTGTCATGGATCAGGGTGTCTGATGAAGAAAACTTAGAACTTCTCACTGTTGATTTGGAAACACACACGGCTGATTCTAGGTAAGTTATTTTTGTATTTTAAAATATTTATTAATATATTAATTAAATTTAAAATTTTAATTAATTAATTAAAATATTAATTAAATTAATTACACGTAATACCTGTTATCGTAGCCGACATAGCCCATTCATGTCTTTTATTTCATCACATTATAAATGCGAATGTTTGTACTCGTATGTGTGTTTATGTTTCTTACTTGTTCACACTAAAACGGCTGGACGGATTTAGATGAATTTTAGTATACAAATATACAATAAATTGGATCAACACATGGGTAAGGAATCTAGGGTTGCAACTGGAATATATTTTTTCATATCAAATAAAAAAAAGGAAAACAAGCATTTTTTATGAATAGTTGCAATTGTAATAAAATGGTTAATTTACTGGTTTAAGAATGAAATTCTAAAAAATCTTTCTATAGCTGCTCGCAGGACATTTTTTGACAATTCCAAATGTCTGAGTCCACAAACTTAATGTGCATTACTACGTCATTTGTCAGTCAATATTCTTTTGTACTAATTCCATATCTATACAGATGAATAAAATTGAAGTGTCCGTTTGTAATGTTAAAATAATAGCTTTATACTGAATGAATATAAAAGTAGGTATGTACGGTACTTAAAAGATTTTTTTTTGTCTGTCTGTTTGTTCCGGCCAATCTCCAAAACAGCTGGACCGATTTTTATGGGACTTTCATTAGCAGATAGCTGATATTATAAGGAGTAACTTAGGCTGCTTTTATTTTAGAAAAAGAATTAGGTTTCCGCTTAACTGATTACATTGAATAAATTGTAAATCTTAAAAGGTTTAACATAAAGCCTTTATTTTATTAAGATGCTTGTATTGTAACACAATTTATATGTATACTTTACGTAGACGAAACCAGAATAAATCGCTAGTATGAAATAAATGATAGTAAGAAACTACTCTAATATATATTACACATAGGTACAAAGTCGACGTTGCGGGTGAAACTTGGAAGCTTACGCTGTCTGACGCCAAAGTGCAGGACTCCGGGATATATTGCTGTCACGTGTCCACCCATCCGCCTATGTTGAGGCGATTCCAACTTGTCGTACATCGTAAGTACTTAAGTAAAAGTATAGTTAGACTTTATAATAGAGCTTTTTCGTTATCCGACTATGAAGGGTTACAAAAGACCTGTATAAATTGACATTATAGTTTAAAAGATAGTGGTAGCTCAGTGGCAACGCGTTTACTTGAAAAACCGACTGAAGCGGGTTCAAATCCCGAGTCTGGCACTCTGATATTCTCATATGCGAACATTTCCAACATGACTACCACTAGTTTTACGGCGAAGAAAAACATAGCGAGGAAACATTCATGTCTAAGAGAACCTAGCAAATGGACAGACATGTGAAGTCCGCCAACCCGCACTTGGCTAGCGTGATAGTCTACCAGTCAGTCGACTGGTCCCCCTTGTATTGAAGGGAGGCCCGTGCCCAGCAGTGGGACGTTAAAAAGGGCTGATTATATTATATCAGTTAGGTATGTACGTATCTATGTATGTGTGTTCATCTGTATATCGTCTAATCTATCATGATTTGACAGATGAGGTATCGTTAAAAGCACCTTAATCGTCCGCTGGTTATAGGCTTTGTGGCGTCACACTAAAATCAATACGCCCTCTAGAGGACAATAAGTTCGGTATTAAAACAGAATTATTTTTAAAAAACGATTTTATCCGTAGTCAGATTTTACTGTCTTTAACCGGAAAAGTAGTTTTTAAAATTATATATTATTTATAATGTAAATATAAATAATATAAATATGTCGGGACATTAACACACAGCACCGTCTAGTTCCACATTAAGCTACAAGGCTTGTGCTATGGATACCAGATAGTTGGTACACTACACATAATATATAACTTTAAATACATACTTATTATAATTTTAAATATATACTTATTATAAACACTCATGACTGAAGTACAAACATTCGTGCCCATCACACAAATGAATGCTTCCAGCGGGACTTGAACCCGCGACCGCTGGCACGGCAAGTAGGATCACTACAAACTAACCTAAACGTGTCATCATTTTAATATCCTTATCATAACTTGTTTTTGTATAGTTATAGCGTGTTTGGTGATAAATCTATTATTTTGCATAAAATATAATGTGGCTACTATTTATTTTATATGATAAAGTAAATGTTTGTCATATTATTTACACAATGAAAAATGAATTTCAATTTCATTTAATTATCAGTTGGATCATGAAATTATTAATAATAGTTTTAAAATATTCCTTTGTTCATACAATTGCAAAAACAATTGCAAACAACAGATCATCTGTGTAGGTACAGTTTTATTAAAAGCAACGGTTAGTATGAAATAAAATCTTTGAATTACTCGACTTTTCTGTACTATAATATGCATGTACTATACATATTAACCTTCCTCTTGAATCACTCTATCTATTAAAAAAAATCGCATCAAAATCCGATGCGTAGTTTGAAATATCTAAGCATATAGGGACAGACAGACAGCGGGAAGCGACTTTGTTTTATACTACGTAGTCATAAATTTCATTATAGTTTTTGAGTGATCATGATATGTATAATAGGTTTAATAAGTATTTTTTTGTTATTTATAATTTACTAACGGCTTATCGCCGCTTCGCTTATGTTCACCTCTAGAAAATCAAAAACAAATCTATCGCACGGGAAGCGTGCATTTTCCGGGATAAAAAGTAGCATAATATGTATTATTCTGATGTATGACCTGTAGTACGTACTTATTTAAGTTTCATTAAAATCTGTTAAATAGTTTCTGCGTGAAAGAGTAACCAACATCCATACATCTATACACCCAGACATACAGATATCCTCACAAGCATTTATAATATTAGTAAGATTTATGATTTTAATATTAAATTTTAATATTAAATAATAATAGTCATAATTTTCTTATAGTTTGACTAATCTAAGAAAGTGTTTTTGATCAAATAATGAAAAATACAATTTATAAAATAATTTTGTGGCTTAGAAATTCCTAGAAACCATTTTTTTAATATTTTAATTTAGTTTTCTCTTACGGATCGGAGCGGATACATTCGCTGATGATCAAAGCAGCCACCAATGAAAGCCTTGCTAAAATTGATTTGCCGTTCTGCCATTCTATATTCTTTAATTCCAGATGTAATTTTTGTTTTAATATTCTATTTGTATATCAAAACCGTATTAAAATTGGTTTAGTCAGAATAATATCTTTAAAATCTTTATTTATAACATACACACAATTAAAATATTAAAATGACTCATAATATTTACAAATTTGACTATTTTAAATGGTTCTTCAAAAACCTAAAACTTCAATATTTGTAGCAGCAGTAATATCAAAACTAATAAAGCTTGTTGTTCCAGCGCCTGAAATAAAAATGAGCAAAGAGGCTTTTCTCGAAAGCGGCGAGACTCTATCACTGAAGTGCGCGGTATTGCATCTGAGTACCGGGGAAATTACTCCGGAATTGCATTGGTATAGAGGCAACAGTACGACGCCCTTGGATGAGATACGAGGCGGAGTTCTGATTGAAACGGACCTATTGACTCTTACAAGTCATCTACAGGTACTCGTATTTTATATATTTAATTGTCAATGTTTTATTAGTTTTTTTATGCTAGATAGCCTTTGCTCTTGAGTTCGCCCACATAATATGAATATCCATATTATTGTGCAACGCTCAGAATTAAAGTGGTTTAAAATAAAAGTAAAGTTAAATCTATATGAAATTAAAATGTGTCTTATGTCTAAAAATATCATCATCGTCATCTGAGACACCATTGTGTCTAGTTTCATCCTCAGATTTTTACAATATAAAGTTTGCCCGCTGCTTAGTCCACGTGGCTAGTTACATTTCTAAAGACATACTGTAATATGTATAATTTATTTTTATGATATAAATATTTTGCGGCTTAAAATATTGTCGAAATTATATTTTGTTCGACTCGCTAACAAAAACGGTGAAAGCTCAGCTAAAACATCCAAAACAAATATTTTTAGCTTATGACACTCGAGGATAAATCCATCAGCAAAAGGATATATGAAATTGAATAACAGTTTCAGAGATTTATACCACCTACATATTCACAATATAATAAACTACGAGTACCTAATAAAGTCACAAATTTTACCTTTTTACTAGCTACTCACCGTCTCTCCGCTCGGGTTTGTCCCTGCGTTTTAAGGTTAGTATAGATTTCTCAGAGGTGACATATTTTCTCGCAGTAAAAAGTATCCTTTATGCTGACCTGGACGGATAACAAGTTATCATCATACCAAATTTCACAAAATCTGTCCAGTGGTTTTCTCGTGATGCGTTCGCAGACAGACAGACAGACAAAATTCTAAGAACCATAGATTCTGCCTCTGTATCGATAATAATTACTATATCAATATAATTTTCCAAAAAATATTTAATATACAGATTCGATTCAGTAAGAATTTTAAATTCGTCGAATTAGATAGTCTAATTAGACATACTGACAAAATCCTTTTTTGATATTCCGCTTTCAAAAACCATGTTAGGCTTTTCTTTTAGGCACGAAACCATTGTCTTTTATAACCTTACTACTTATTGCGCGTGGCTTCGCTTGCGTTAAAAGCGTAGCAGAAATCAAGGGTAACCTATGTCCGATCTCAGAATCTATGTCGTTGCTAAATTTTATCAAAATCTGTTCAGCAGTTTAAGCGTGACTGTAACAGACAGAGTTACTTTCTTTTTATCGATATATATATATATATATATATATATATATATATATATATATATATATATATATATATATATATGAATACAATATATTGTACAGTACTGACTAATTAGCATTTCAAACTACGTGCCATGACTGTGATGACATTCGTCAATCTGTTAAAAAAAAAACAATTAAATACACTATCCGACGAGCAAATTGGGAAAAGATGCCAAAATAAATTTACTACTATTTAAATGGGTCGAGCTGAATGCATTTAGTGCGAATCAAACAAATTTAAATTTGCACATTCTATTGGATTTTCCGATTATCGTGTTTGCTATTTGTTCGGAACTAGTTTAATTGTTACTAATTAAATATCCCATATAAAGAATTGATAATTAACAATAAATAGACCTAATAAATTGTGTTGTTTTCATGATTTTGCTCAATGAGCAATTATAGTGGATAGATAACGGTAGTGATTGATATAAAATTTCGCCTTTATTTATAAATAAAGCCAGGCAACAGCCCAATGGTAACGCGTTTGCTTGGGAAACCAAGTGAAGCGGGTTCAAATCTTGGGTCTCGCACCTCTAATGATTTTACGTGCGAATATTTTCGACATGATTCCCGCTTGTCTTACTGTGAATGAAAACATTGTGAGGAAACCTGCATGTCTGAGAGGAACTACCTAGCTCTCGAAAATTATGTGTAGTCCGCCAACCCGTACTTGGCCAGCGTGGTGGAATATGACCTTCATATCGAAGGGAGGCTTAGTAGGACGTTAAAAAGGGTTAAATACATACATTTATATATTTAAAAATTAGTATCAGAATCGAATTTGTGAATTATTCGTACATATTTATTATTATTCAATAACTATCGGCGAACCAGTACTTACGTTATAAAAGGATTTTCTAAGTAAAATTTACTTTCTGTTAAACTTCACTGAATTCTTTCTTTCTGAATTTAATAAAATCCAAAACAAGATTTTTTGTAAATTTCATCTGTTGTCATATATTGAGAATTACACGTGCCTCGTACGTGGTCAATTAGATGAATTTCGACAGATTTTTACTACACTTTTTTTTAATTAAAAATGGGCTTACTCTTGACCTTCATCTTAGCTCGAAGGCATAGATAAGGTCTATGATCTAGCGAGTTTGCCCAGGAGAAGCCTGGTAACATGCATCTTAAATAGTTTCAGGTTGTAAGCTCTCGGAAAAACAGACGCAGGCAGGGCATTCCATTTCTTGGCTGTGCGCATTATAAAAGATGACGAATAGCGCTTAGTGCGAGTGGTCGGAATATCTACCAAAAAAGGACGGTATCCTGCAGTACGTCTGGTGTTCCGATGGAAGATATTATATTTTTATTTTAATAAGAAAAGCAGATCCATATACGCTTTATCTCACTGTACAATCTTTTCATTACTTTAAAAGTTGTTTCACAGTTGATTATTTTTAAAAGCAGTGTAGTTAATATACTTTTACATTGTATATGTAGAAAGTTTTGAATCTCTATATTTTGTCAAAAACAAAATACATTATTCTATCTTAGTTAAAATGTAGTAATAGAAACATTTCATTTAAACTATTGTTCGTCTGACTATATTGCTATTGCAAAGCGATGGAGGTCCAGTATAATTAATACAAAAACGTACCCCGGAGCTGACTGCGGAAGCGATCACAAATTATTGGTGGCAGTCATGAAAGTAAAGCTCAAGAAATGCGTGAGAAGCCTAGTCAAAAATCATGGTCGACCTTCTCCAGAAACACTTAACACCTATGAAGAAGTCTTTAACAACAAAGTCACACACCTAAAGTTAGATAACAGCATCGACATAGATATGAAGTGGACTACAATAAAGGACATTATTCTCGACACACGAAAAGACATCCAACAGCAAAACTATTGTAGTTCAAGAAAGGCGTGGATATCAGAAGAAACGTGGAAGGCGATTAATGAAAGAAAAGACCTCCTAACCAGAAGGGACTCTGAGAAAGCTCAGTATAACACCATATCAGCGCGGGTTCAATGCTTATGCCGTAGAGACTACAACCAATATCTGAACTCGATATGTGAAGATATTGAGGACCATGCTAGGACTCTGCACACCAAAGACCTGTTTCTACGAGTAAAACGCATCACACGAGAGTTAAGACCCAAAACTTGGGCGATTCAAGATAGTAAGGGTACACTACTGACGGAGATTGACCAGGTTACAGAAAGATGGCGGTCATATTGCCAAAGCCTGTACAAGGACGACAGGGGATCCTCTGAGCCATTCAGCATGGATGAAAACCTAGAGCCTGAAATACTGGAATCTGAAGTCAGGGAAGCTCTTAGAAAAATTAAAACAAATAAATCAGCCGGAAGAGACAGTATATTCGCTGAAGAACTGAAAAACTTAGGAGACACAGGTGTCAAGATCTTTAAGGACCTGTGTAATCAGATCTGGAGCTCGGGAAAATGGCCCAAGGACTGGACGGAGTCACTTTTGATACCACTGCACAAGAAAGGCTCGACAAAGATTTGCGAAAACTATCGAACAGTGGCCCTCATATCACATGGTAGTAAGATCATGCTTCATATAATTAATGGACGCTTACAACCCTACCTACAGCGGCAAATACCTAATGAGCAGGCTGGCTTTGTCAAGGGCCGTGGAACTCGGGAGCAAATTGTCAACATTAGACAACTCATAGAGAAGAGCCGGGAATTTAATGTTCCGATAATTATGTGTTTTGTTGATTACTCCAAGGCGTTTGATTGCGTGAGGTGGGATTGTCTATGGAGAATCCTCCTAGAAATGGGTGTTCCTAAGCATTTAATAGCACTGCTCGCAAACCTATATGAGAATGGGAAGTCAATGGTAAGAGTGAACGACGTGGTATCCGCTCCTTTCAAACCACAAAAAGGAGTACGACAGGGATGCATCATATCCCCTCTTCTTTTTAACATCTACGGCGAGTATATCATAAGGACAGCGCTAGATGAGTGGGATGGAGGCATTTCCGTTGGAGGCAACAAGATCAGTAACCTCCGATACGCCGATGACACTACGCTATTGGCTTCTTCAGAACAGGAAATGGCTGAACTACTTAGAAGAGTCGAGCGTGCAAGTGAGATGGTCGGTCTTTCCATTAATAAGAAAAAAACGAAAATCATGGTAGTAGATCGAGCTGGAACTTTTGCACGAACCGGAGAACTGGCGGACCTGGAATTTGTAGATGAGTTTGTGTACCTGGGATCACTTATAAGCAATCAGGGAGGCTGTGACAAAGAAATTCGGAGACGTACGCAGATGGCCAAGGCAGCTATGAGTAAGTTAACCAGAATCTGGCAAAACAGGAAAGTGTCGAATACCACCAAGACCAGACTCGTGCGAGCTTTGGTGTTCTCCATATTTCTGTACGGTTCCGAATCATGGTCAATCCGTGCAGCTGACCGAAAGAAGATCGACACTTTTGAAATGTGGTGTTACAGAAGAATGTTGCGTATACCGTGGACAGCAAAAAGAACCAACAGGTCTATTCTCGACCAACTGAAGATTACTGCCAGACTATCCACTATATGCTACCAACGAGTCCTAAGTTACTTTGGTCACATCGCCCGGAGACAACCAGACAATCTGGATAAACTGGTTGTAGTAGGGAAGATTGAAGGCAAAAGATCACGCGGTCGAGCACCTACCCGCTGGTCCGACCAGATTTCAAATATAACGGGACTCAATATTCCGACTGCCCTGAGACAAGCCGAGGATAGAGTGGTGTGGAGAAAGATAGTCAACAAATCGGTGCAAACATTCCAGGACAAGCACGACCTTCAGCAATGAAGTACACGAAGAAGAAGATTGTTCGTCTGAAGAATTCTCTGGGAGGAAAATTTAGCTGGTATATTTTGTGCCTAATTTAATCTTTTGTAAGACAAATAACGTTAGCTTGGTCACGTCCTCGTATAGCTTTATTTTCGCCGACAAAAGATGCACGTAGTAAGCATATTTTATTAGCCTTAAAAACATTGCAGAATCATACTTAACAACGCAAAAATATGAAAAAATATATAAAAATCGAATAAATATGTATTATTTTTTAATTTAATAAGAAAACTGACTATGAAACCAAAAATTATTAATTTCGCAGATCTTACTTGTGGCTAACTTAAATTATTTTTTTGTTGCCACAAAATATTTTTGAATTTAATAAGGTAAGCTAAGTGCATCTTAAAGCTCTTTTCAAAGCTCAAGATCAAAATCAAATGATTATTCTAGAAATTAAAAATAAAAAACCACGATAAAGTTCAAAACCGAGTTTTTCGTAAATATGTCAAAAACGTTGAGGTTATTGTACAAAATGTTATAAAATGTGTGTATAAAAGTTGTACATTTTTATTAAACCTACAACTTTGGTAAAAAACATTTTTCGATAGAACGTCACAGTAAGCCGGAAATTGAAAAAAAATATTTTTCAACCCTTTGCGTCCCTCCATGTCTCGGGGGTAGCTAGGCATCATAGGCATTTTACGAATTTCTATTCCTTATATACCTGCTAACATTTTAAAATCATAAAACTTCAGATTTTCGATATTTTGTTCCCAAACCGGATTCCGATTGGACTAATACAGCTGATAAATTATTACTTTATAAGTTAAAACCATTACAATTTGAGGACCTATTGAAATGGAAATATCTGCAAAATCTTTTCAGATTATCAACTTCTTGGTCTAAAGAAATATAATTGTTATGTAAAGTTAGGTTGAAATGCAATTTCTGACTTCCAATTTTACAATTCATTATTTGTTCCTTATAATTCTATGTAGTTGCGATTTTTCAATAATTATTAATATAATATATAAAATATTCTAATTAAAACAAAGAATAATATAAATAAAATAAAGTGATCTTTACACCGTATATATAGTTACTATAAGTAACGGAATCATTGCAGCCAATTCCCTAAAAAACAATAGCCCAGCTATAAATAAAATTTAAGAGAAATCTCAAAGAAATTAATATTATAAATGCGAAAGTTTTGATAGATATTGATGATTGTTACTCAATCACGCCAGAACGGCTAAACAGATTTGGATGAAATTTGGCACAAAGATAGATTTTAGTCTGGAATAGGACAGAGGCTCCTTTTTATTTCAAAAAAAAGTATACGGTTCCCGTGGGATAGATTAGTTTTCGTTTTTCTAGAGGCGAACCCGAGTGAAGCGAGGGTGAACCGCTACTGTTATATAAACAACAATATATACAAATAATATGATATTAATTTAAACTCTAAAAATAAAATAATGAGTAATAAAAATATGAAGCATAAGAAAGTAGGGCTTTCAACAGCAATTCAATATAAGATTCCATTTTATTAGAAAATACACAACAGAAATATATTGGGTGGTATTTTATTTATGTACCTACAGTACACAAAAAGTTAAGTGATTTCTTTAAACATAAACTAATTTTATCTTATTGAGCTATATCCAGATAGGATGTTGATCTTAATTGTAATAAGGCCAAGAGCTAAGTTATAAAGAATATTTTCTTTTTTATTCAATTACTACAATGGGTACCAAAATCAATGAGTGGAGCACAAGTAGGACCTATCAGATTTTACGTACATTGCGTAAAAAAACAGAATTATTTTTTCTTTGAATTTCAGCTCTATAGTGTATGTAATAGGAATCATATAAGTTACTACCCTACTACCTTTTACTCAACGACCGTAAAGAGGTTATTCAAATTATGCTTCACTTGAAAAATGGTTATTTAATTTTTTTTACTACGATATTATTTTAACTGTTATCGAGTTTTATATTTTTAATAAAGGATGTTTTTTTTTCAATATTTCATTTTTATTAATATACGAAATTACAAATATAATTATTTATATATACAAAATAAATATACACTTAATAAGTACTTAATGACGTCTGCGTAAACTCGTGGCAAGAATGTGAAGAAGCATCCGAACTGATTCTTTAGTCTAAAAAGGAGCCAGTTCTTTTGTCATGTCTTGTCATAATGATAGTCCCCGGAAGATGTGTGATGTAGCGGATATGGTCTTGCGGTATTTGATTTCAGACATGTTATTTTATATATAAATAATATTATAGATAACATCATTAACTCCAGAGTGGCTGGAATCGAACCCACGAACTCTTACATCCATGACATCCACGTCAGACCCCCCGAACGTGAAGCGAAGAAACACAATGGGAGGTGGCCCACTTCGGTGGTCGGTGTACCATGCGGATTGCTCCTGGTACTTCTCTGATAGCAGTGTGGACCAAGGTAGCAACTAGTTGGCTATGTGGTCTGCTTCTGCAGACCTGCCGTCGGGGCGTCATAAAGACGAGTAGAAGACTCATTAAGACGGTGTAGTTTCTGTTGGGTTTTACTGGCTTTTCTAGCCGGTGAGTCCCACATAACCACCTGTATCTATGCAGGTGGCGGGCTTAAATGCATTTCTCAGCATTAAAAAAAAAAGTCCATGTAAGACACTATTTTAATGAGAAAATAATTATAGAAAATAATTATAAACCAGACAATAGCTAAAGTAAATATATTATGATAATTATAGGACGTATCATAAAAGCTATTATGATAATTATAATAAAATGATAATACTGAGTGGATTTAAATTGAGCGATGTTTTTATTTAATATTGTACCAAATATTGGTCAAAGCATTCACCCGCTTAAAGAAACAGCACTGAAAATGCGAATATACAACGAATACGCGAATGTCGTTGCGGTTTAAACATTTCCTATAAGGGGAAATGTAACAGAAGTCACTGTAATTATTTAAGCCACAAGTAAAGAATTTTAATCTTTCTATTCCATTTGTTTGGATAAAATATGTGTAGTTAAACGTAAAATTTTGTATTTATCATCTAAGATTTATAACTTAGATTATTCAGAGATGAGATATTTTTCCGCAGTAAAAAGTATTCCATATTATGTTGACCCGATAACCAGCTTTCATCATACCAATTTCATCAAAATCTGTCCAGTGCTTTTCTCGTGATTCCTAGACAAACAGACAGACAAAAATTTTAAAAACTATAGATTCGGCCTCTGTATCGATAATAATGTTTATTTCAATAAGATTTTCCAAAAAATATTTAATGTACAGATTCGGCTTAGTTACAATTTTATTATTGTATAGACTACTTTCTGATCTTAGAATTACACGAATTTTTTTTGATACAAAAAACA